GGCCCCCAGTTGCCTGGCCCCCACCAGCTGCTTGTCCCCCCGCCTTCGTTGCCCTCAGTGTGGCTGCCAGCAGGGGGACCGCGACATGGTGGCCGCCCCCTGCGTCGACGCTCTCCCGCAGCTCAGGGCCCGGCCGCGCCGCTCCCGCCTCCTGCGGCCGCCGTTAGCAGCAGGCGCTGGGGGCCCGGGCCGGCGGTGCTGCCCCTCACCGCTCGGGGCGGCACCGGAGGGGGCTGCTGGCCTCCGGTCAGCTGGTGTTCGGCGTAGGGCAAGAGCAAGCCCCTGAGGAAAAGCCCTTGAGGAAGGAGCACAGAAGGCACCGAAGTGGCAGAATAGAGAAGGTGAGGAAAAAAGGAGCCTGTCTGAGCTGTTTATTGCTGCCTAGCGTGCCACTCAAGAATGGGAGGCTTGGTGCGCTTTTCTGCCACAAGTTCTGCTGTTGGAGGTTTAGTGTATTTTTTGTTTTTTTTTTTTTTTCCTTCTTCTTCCATCTGCTGCAATTTGTTCTGTTACTTGTAGCTCAGAGCAATTCCTTGCATACTTGCCCCAGCTGCCGGAGGGCCGCTGACCCGTGCTGTCCCAGGACCTCCAGGACACAAGCCCGCTTCAGGAGGGAGCAGGCCAGGGTTTGTCCCGTGACAGAAATTGTCGCAGAAGGGAACTGGTGGCTCTTTGATTGTCGCCTCTGGACCAGCATCTAACAAGCTGTAACAGGCTGGTGATGGCTACTGGTTCTCCACCCTCTTAATAAGTGTTGCTCTAGTTGAGGAAGGAATGGTTTAATGCATTTTGCTGAGTCCTTCCAGAGGCAGATGTCTAATTAATTATTACACAGTAGTTACACAAGAAAAAGGAGTGGTTTTCAGAAGGCAAAATATACAGAGTTTCTCTGAAAGAGAAAACCTAGAAGAGAAAAACCTGAGACACCTTTTGTACTCATTATGTTCCTTTGTGACCATATCAAGTCTGTAAGAAGACGGGAACTTTAATGGAGGAAAATGCAGTACTGTTCGCCTCACAGCATTTTAGCAATGTGTGTTGCTAAACACACGTTGCTAAACACACAGTGTGTACTAGATCTGAGACGTGCCCTTCGCATTCAGCAAGGGTCAGTAATGGAGAGTGGTTCCTGTACTGATCAAATGCCTTCTTCCCGTTAAGGAAATCATACCATTAAAACAATGTGATTCACCATACTGTCATACTCCAAATAAAATGCATTTTTATGCAATTGAAAGAATTACATGCATTAGTGATTTCATGCCAAATAAAGTGTCTGGTTTGGATTCAGAGCAGCAGCTTGCACTGGCATTTTTTTCAGGTAGAAATGGTGTTTTCATTCTATCATTCAGTTGAAGCACCACCAGTATTATATTTAAAATGTGAATTTTTCAAAAGTGCCACCCTGGCTTTGATATATTTGTTTACATTTTTGAGGAGGGAGTAGGAAAGTGCTGAAACTAGGACTGCATCTAAACTAACCCTCAATCTCAACCAAGCACAAGCAATCTTCTGATCTCTTTTCTCCCTTGGCAAACGTGCTCTTACCCAAACTGACCCCAAACAAATAGCCCAATTCTTATCACTGAGTTTTTTAAGAATTTAAATTGAGCTATGAAGCTTAATCTCAGATTCTGTTTCTGTTAAAATATGCCTAATACAGGTGTCCTGAGAAGCTTCAAAATGCTGAAGAAACCTTACAAGCCACTATAAAGACTCCTGCAGATTTCAATATGCACTGGAACGTGCCTGTTGTAAGGAAGAGATAGGGAGATGTAGTTTAACTGTATGGAGAAAATTTAAATCAGATTATATGCTTCACAGTTTTGTTTGGATTAACAGTCATGGTGGTAACACCACATCAGTACTGTGATTATAAATGTATGCACTAGCAAATTCAAAATGTCAATTTTAGAATTGCAAAAAAGAAAACATTGATACTGTAACGATGGTGTTCTCTCTGTGATATTAGGGCTATTAGGTAATACAGTGGTCTGGAACTCGGCCTGCTTCTGATGTGCTAATTTAAACTGTTTTAGTGCTTTAGGGTGTCTATCAATGGTGGGCATTGAGGATAAAAATTATTATGTAGAAGTCGTAGAAAAACATTTCCTATAACCATTGTTAATGGACTCTCCAAACGTTGATTTGGACTGATAAGGTTTCTTTAGTTTGCATTGTTCCGTCTAGCTTGGGATGTCTTCAATTATCTTGGAATGTGACTAGAAGAAAGAAAAAATATTCCTGAGTCAGTACTAAATAGCATTCTACCCTGGGTCTTGTTCTTTACAAAGTGTTTGTTTTGGGGGAGCCTTGAAATCAAATCCTATCAAGCTTTTACTTTCCTTTACTGTATGAGTGGCTCCCTAAGTATAAGCCAGCACACTAAAAGCCTGTACCTGTTTAACAAGAGATAGGTGGAACCAGAGAACTGGTCTGCAGTACCAGAAAACCTGGACTTTATTTCTTGTGGCCACTGTTTGAACAGCCTTTCCCTATCAGATATCTACTTGGAGGACAAACAGTTGCACAAAGAGGTGAATTCTTTTTTTCTCCCATTTCCAAAACAACTTTGAGCTTTATAGAATGCCATATCTGAAGTATGTCCAAACGCCTCAGTAAAATTACACTCTTTCCCACAGTCCTGCCAAACATGCTGCATTTTGCTACATAGCAATTGGTGCAGTGTGATGAAAAGCACAGGAATGTCTCTTAACATGCAAGTTGTCAAAGTTTGAAGATTTATCAATTTGAAAGACTAGCTGTTAGAAAGGGCTGAATAAGGGGAGGCTTTAGACAGCTGATTTTTTTCGCAAACTTTAAAGATTTCTCCTATTTCTCCTATCCTCTCATTTTTAGAAATTTTGTATCTACAGATCAAGCATGCATGTCCTTTAATAGTCATGCAGTTTCTTGCTCTGCATTTCTTGTTTTGAAAAATAATTGCATAGGGCTTTCCTCCAGCTTTATCCTGTTTTGATACGAAAGTTTTCATCTGGTAACCCAAGTTTCAGGGTGAAACTCCAGTAAACAAATGGATGGATTAAAATGTAATTGTGCTTCTTGGAGAAATTGCAAGACGTTTTTCAAATGTAATCAGCAAGATATGCTCTGCTTCAAAGAGATCCATAAATGCTATCAGGAACGTCCAGATCAAACCACATCAATATGATATTGTAGAAGTTGTGAAGGATAAATGGGAAGGCTTTCAGAAATCACTCAGCTGTGCCAAAAACTCTAGTTGTTGATGCTTCTAGAGGAGGAATGGCACGTGTGTTCTGATTTTCTGAGGAAAAGAATCTCAAGTGAAACTGTTGGACAAAGCCACACAGTAAAAATTAATACCCTTTGCCAATTTCATATGCTTAGCTAACCTTCTTTAACTCTTTCTTGGACTGATACTCTTCTTGTCCTTTAAATCCTAGGTTAAGATAAATGAGTTATTTTGATGCCTATGTAGGGTACTGCTCTTCTCAAGTGTCTATTGTAGTTGATATCCCCAGATAGACAAATCAAAATTATTATAAATCTTAGAGGTATGATAGCAGAGAGTATCATCTATAAGAGCTTGTTCTTCCCTGGTCCTGAGGCTAAGACTAGCTTCAAACCCATCCTGAATTGGAAAAGTAGCAGTGAAACAAGGTACTAGACTTTTTGTGCAATATACCTAATGCTGTCATTACGAATTGGGAGCAGAGCAGCTGGGATTGCGTCATAGTTCATCTGTGAATCAGTGAGAACAGATTTTTCTGAAGGTGTGTCGGTGTTAGATTAACTGCTTCTGTTTGTAGTTCATGACAAGTGCCTATTTGAATAATTACTAATCTGCTCTGCTTCTAAATCCAATCACTGGGGATGTAACAGGTCTGTCCTCTTTTCAGGAGGTGAATGCAGTAATTCATAGCATGGTACTAGACTGGTAATTTAAACCTGAAATTCCAGAGACAATTCTATGCTCTGGCTATAAGAACTCGAGTTGTTTTCAGAGTCTTTTGCTTGGAATACTTTTATTTGGTTATTCATGCTTTATTTTGGATCATATATTGAGATGCATCCATAAATTAAGATGGTAATGATGCTGGAGTTTCTTCAGGGCTATGTAAGAGGATAAATGAGCTCTTTCATCTTATCTTGTAATTAAGCAGTTCTCTCACTTCTCCCCTATTTTCTTCAGGTGAACCTTAACTCGCGTGGCATGCTGGCCGTATGAAATAGTGGCCTGAAAAGCAGATCTCCTGAATTACCTTCTAAAGATTTCTTGTTTAGCTTGGGGAAGTTTATTTATATATTTTTAATTTTAAAAATATATTTAAAAAAATCCCGGTTTATAAAATGCCTGTGTTGTCTTGAAATGTTTTTAAACTGATTAGTCAGAATGTGCAAAATGCCATTTCATCCTTGTGTTAGAAGTGCAAAGTGTTGCTATGATCTATACACACTGAATCAAATTAAGCTGCTTCATGGGTGATCACTGTTTCCTCACAAGCTCTTTCTGTCCTGGAAAAATCTCTCTTTGATCTAGCTTTTACTACGTTAAAAGTTCTTAGATTGTTTTGCACATTTTTCCTAATTTTATATGGATGAGGTTTCTGTTCAAAGCTATAGCTAGACCGTGTGAATTCCTTTCATAATAAGAAAGGACAATATTAAGTTCCAGTGGTGGTGCAAGAATGCTTTTTTTTTTTTTTGCTTTTCCTTTTTCCCTTACAGGAAACATCTCTAGTTGTGTTTTCAGTAAAGAACAGTACTGGCTCTAGTATTTCTCCTCTGTCCACAATGGTTTGGTTGTAAGAATACCGTGTCTACATACCTGAGCGATTATGCAAAAAATCCTAGGTATTACACATTTGTTTTCCTGCTCAGAATTTGAGCCAGTGGCTTTACAGTTGATAGCCTTACGTGTGCTTTGTGTGGTAACACAGCCGAGGTACAGGTGTTGTGGGGAGTAAGGAGTTACCATTCCTGCTGATGGCCTTGCAGATCTGGGTCAGCTGGGAGCCCAGAGGGGAAGCTGGGTCTGAGTTTATCAGAAGGGTGTTCCCTTCCCTTCCAGCTTCCCAGGCAGGAAGGGCAGACAAGAGGGTTTTGTTACTCTGCCCTCTGAACTGGTTTAAGATTCGCATGTAGGTTTTGGAAGTAGCCCCTGAGGGAAGGGATGGGAAATGGTTTGCAGTTAGGATTATTTTTTTTCCTGCCCTGGCTAGTGAACATTCGGAATGGCCTCTTTGGCATATCTTTCCAAGTTACGACTGCCTGTGGAAGTGAGAAGGTTCCCTGAGCTCAGCTGAGAGGCGGTGAGGGAACTGAACTGGCAGTTTTGCCAGACTACTGGCAGTGAATACGGTATAGGATAGAATATTCTGTATGTGGAGTATTCTGTATCATTGGTATAGAATAGAATAAAGGTTTCAATTTGTATGACTAAGCTGTAAATTCATCCAGAAGACGGATTCCATTCTGCTTTTCCTTTACTACTGTGAAAGGAAGGAACCTTTGGTAGAGCTAAATGGGTAGCATGTAACCAGACAGATAATGTGGAGTGACTTCTAGCCTGAAAGTCAGTTTTGATTCTTGAAGTTTTTGTTGTCTCTGTATATATCTGGAGTGTGGTATGACTTTGTTGCCCTTTACAATGCAAATCATCAGAGAGGAACCACGTGTAATTTATTTATCAGCACAAACAGGGTCAATACATTGACTTCTGTAATAGATACAGGGTAACAATACTGGGAAAGGAAACACAGGGAAGCAGTACATGTTGCTCAAGTAAAGACAGTGTCCTGTGATATTGTCTTCAAATTGATATCAGAATAATCATTTATGGTATTTCTCATGATTTTCCTGTGTCTCCATGGTGAGTACATTTTAGAAATCTGTTTTTTTTGAAATGTTTTCCTTGCACCATCACAGACCTCCGGATATTCCCAATTCACACCTGTTTTCCATCCATTTTCTGACTGCACAAGTTACTATTTGAGTTTGGTAATTCAAGCAATTTGCTTGCTTTGTCCCAAGAAGAGCATAAATCTTCAGGAACTCACAGGGAGTTCCTCGTCATTGTAGTGAGAAACATAAAACCAAAGTTAGTAGCAATGGCATCTGTAACAGTTCTTTGTCATTTTTCAAGATGTTGAAAGGCCTAACTTGCATAGCCTTCTGCTGTTTTGCTCTCAGACAGCTCTTTTGGGGTTCCTTTTTAGGCTGGTGGTGGATGCTGATTTGCTGTCCCTAAAAGTACTGATCTAAGATGCTGCTGATTTTTTTTTTTCTCTCAGTTATACTGCCTTTTTTTTCTCTCTGTCAGTACTTATCTTTTAAGTTCATTTATAATGATACTCCCGAAGGAGAAGATAGTCACAGATACACAGGAAAATTTGTGTACAATATAAAATTAAGCTGTTCTGTGTCCTTTTGTTCAATTTGTGTGGACACAAAAGGTTTCATAAATACTGTGTCTATTTTCTGCCTAGAGATTGCATAGAATGCATCCTATGTTTTTGAGCTTTCCCAGAGTTATTTCTTAATTTTTATCAGTGGGGCTAGATAGAACTTCTTTATAGTGCCAGAAGTTCAAAAAATGTAGTCTCAAGAGGTGGCTGTACAATCATTACAGCTTTCAGGGGATGACCTTAGAGGAAAATATACTGTATTGTTTTTTGCTTTTGCTGAATAAAGAGCATGCCCATGACATACACAGGCAGCTACACAACAGATTTTTCAATGTTCAAGGCTGGAGCAAAGTAGAACGTGCAAGGTGGATACAAAAGTAGAGGCATCTAGAAAATCCAGGAATTACGTTAACAGAGGTGGGTAAACAAGATTGAATTTCTTTTGTCCAATGTCTGTCAGCACAGAAGATACTTAGACCATTGTTGCTGATGTCCAAACCACATCTCTGTTCCAGCTGTGTATTTTCAGAATATCAAGAAGTAGAAGCTTACCATGTGCTAGAGATACTGCTGGACATAGAGTCAGCATAGTTGGCCCTATGCAGTGCTGTGTGCTGTTTTGGGGAGAAACAGGAGGGAGAGGCTGACAGAGCATCTTTATTCTCATTACCTCTGTGAGTACAGCTATTGGAGAGTTAGCACCATCAGACTGCTCTTATGGCTGCTGAGATTGATTTAAAAAAAAAACAAAAACAACTGGTTTTAAGATTAAGAATTTTTTCTTGTCTCCCTGCCATCTCCATCCCATTGTCTTTCGCAATAAACCAAGTAGAGGCACAGCGGAGCAATGAATAGCCTAGTGGGTTAACATCGGTGTTAGTGGCAAAAATGAAAAATGTGGAGTGTTTTTTATCCTCTCGATAAAGCAAGTCAAAAGAGGAGGCCATGTTCAGGGATGACATCAAAGGATTAACAACATTTTCCTTTCTCTCAGCTCACTGTGATTTAAAGAGCTGGTGATGTCAGAAAACTGGAAATCCAGACAGAATTGTTGATCTTACCTTGCTATGAGAAGTTGCATAGGCTAGCTTTTCCTTTCTAGACATTGTACAGCCTTTCTTACATGAAGGATTTCTCATATTTCATTTGGGCTAATTATGTTGCCTCCCTTTCCTGCTGTCAGGAATTAATACCACCATGCCTGACTCCATCCATTCTGAAAATAGCTATCGATACAGCTCACAGCTATTTTTATCTCCTAGTGTCAACATAAAGCAGCAGGCACATGTTCCCAGAAGAAACTCTGACTTTTCACAGCTCCTGCATCAGCAAAGTTAGAAGGCTCAAAATGCAGGAGTAGCTTGGGCAAAGTTTGAAGTGTTCTTTATTCTTGCCTTTCCCCTGGAAAAGATGCAGAAATTTGTATATCATGGTGAATTTCAAAGCCTTACAGCATTTGGCCAAATTTGTCCCCCTTTTTTCAGCTTTAAAAACAGGAGTTTTTCAAGTCATGTTGTGTTTCCTGTATCCCCAGTGTTCAGCTATGGATTAGCTTTCTATCCAGGTATGCAGTAAGGAATGTTTTTCATTCGCGCATAATAACTTTTGTCTCTAGAAGTAAGTCTTCTGTGTGCTTTACCATTTTGGTTCTTGAACTTCTGTAATAATAGGAGCCAGGAGCTGGACTCAGCAATCCTTGTGGGCCCCTTCCAACTTGGGATAGTCTTTGATTCTCTCTGAGATGGGGAACAGCAGAAGGGATCAATGAGACACATCTCCCTGGGCTTGAGTAACTTTTTTGGGAGCTTCCCTCTCTTTAAAAGCATCAGGAGCCAATTTCAGTGCCTGAGGGCAAGTTAGAAGCAAGAGGAACTTGGCATGAGGCTTTTGGCATTTATGAATTGCAGATAGCAGCAATCCTTAAACAAACTATGACAAAGGAAATAAGTATTTTTAAATCTCAAAGAGATTTTTAAATCCAGTTAGCACAGCTGTGTATAGGGAATGGTGAACAGGCTGGTATTAAGGAGCTATAGTATTACTTGTACTCATTTTTTCTTTTTACTTGTTTTGTGGTCAATCATGGAACTATCTGAATAATCAGAGATGATAAAGAGTCACATTCTCTGGTGTACAGGAAATTAAGACATCTGCATGCATGAAAACCAGCCGGAAAGTGTTCGGACAGGGGTTTCTGAGTAGCTGATGAGGTCAGAGTTGGAAGCCAGTTATGGTCTGATTTGATGATCATACAATAGCAGAGGGGGTCTGAAGATTCCTTTCCAAACAGATGAGCTGGGGCTATGAAGTTTCTGTCATTTTGGTTGTTGTAGAAACAGTCCTTAAAGGTCTTTACAGAGAGGCAAAATAAAGCTATGTGAAATGTTTTTTCTTGAAGTTGGAAACCGGCTCCAGAAAGATTTTAAGCAGCTGCATTTGAGGCTTCCCTGTTTTCACCCTTTAAAAAAAAAAAAAAGTGCTGAAGAGCTCTGCCTTTCACACGTCTCTTCCACAGAGATTCAGAGAGGAAGTTGTATGCTGCTGCTGCCCAGTGCCTCCAGACGTTGCCTCGGTTGGTTGTTGGAGATGCTTCTCTGAATGTGGAGGGACAGTTAGCACTGGTTAGATGCAGTAATACGAACTCTGATTCAACGTGGCAGTTATTAGAATAAATATGGCTTTCTCAGATACTCTGACACAGCTTTTTTGAGGTTTTTGTGTTTGACAGTTTGTGGGTTTTGGTTTTGGGTGGCTTTTTGTGTTGGCATATTTTTATTGCTTTGCTTTTGTTTGTGTGGTATGTTTTTTGTTTTTTATTATTTTTTATTTATTTATTGTTACATGAGAGAAGACATTAGAAACATTTACAGTTTAAATGCCATTCATAGAAGTTCTGTAGAAGACCAGAATGATGAAGCAGCTGGCAACAACTTAGTTTCCAGCTGAGGCTTTTGGTCTTTAAGTTTCGTAGCACTAAGGGTATCTGGTAGAGTAAGAAAGCGAGCCACGTGTGGTGGATTCTTGTATTATCAACGGAGGATAAAAATGCTACAACTCATTCTCTCTGCTGTATTTGAATTCATGTGAGCACTGGGCAGTGGTGAGGTGAACTGCATTTTGTGCAGAGTAGCAAAATTGCAAGTGTTCACGTTCACAGAGAAAAATGGAATTGCTCCATTTATTTCCAGACATGAACAAAGGAAATAGTCATTACCCCTTTATGGCTTCTGAAACCTAAGCATAGTATTTGAGTCTATGACTTCAGTGAAGAATGAGCAAAAGGTAAAATCCCATAGCGCCATCTGAAAAAAAAAAAAGATTTAAATAACAAAAAAAACTAATAAATATAACAGATTGAAATGTTCATATCAGATCTCTGCCGAAGAATTTTTAAAAGTTAATCTCCACCGGTGTTTCACCTGGAACATTCACAGACAAACTTGTATTCTTACTGGGAGAGATAAGAACAGTTATACGTTGTCCTGATATGATAAAGCATCTTGGATTTCGTAGCTCATTCTGATTGGTCAGGTGGTTGCTTGGTTTAATAATTCTTCATGCCTAGAATGACAAACTGCAGAATTCCCATGGCCAAAAACAGTTACAGTGCAGGAAATAAACCAGGTAACTTGCACGCTGTGAATTATCAGAGCTCCCCTCCCTGACATAGAAATGTACCATCTGTTGGTTTGGGGATGCCAGTTCTGTGTCTAGGTTCTGTTCACTGTCAGTGGGCCCAGCAGTGCAACACTTATTTTTTTCTAAATGAAAGACTATGAATCTCTCAATAAAGGTTTACTGTTGTGACTGTTAAGCAATAATGCATGTGGTTGAAACATTGTCTGTTTCACCTCATTGTGCCAGTTCTGCCAGCATGCTCAGTTTGAGCACTTGTCATGTGTTACAGAATGATTTTTAGTGAGACCCAGCTCCTAGAGCAGCATGAGCGAGTGAGAATCTCAGCTTTGGTGGAGTAGGGTAAGGTTGTTTGTTTAAATGACTATTCATGAAGAAAAGCCTGGAAGTGTCATGTGAATTCAAAATCCAGAAAGAAACCTGACATCAAGGTATATTTCCTGTGAAACTGTTGAAATGAAGACATTAGAACATTCATTTCTTTGGAAGAGTTTATCTCAGGATTTAGGGAGATCAGCAATATCCCCATAATCTCACATAGCTGTTGTTTGTTTTTTTGTTGTTGTTGTTTGTTTGTTTTTTGTTTTTTACATATCCAGCTAGCTCTTATTTAGGAGGCATATAGGGGAGGTTCATACAAGTGAAAACACAGAAAATGCAAAACATAGCAATTGAATTAAATGTGCTGTAAGACTGATGCAGAAAGGGGAGGTGCATGTGCATAGCTAGTCTATAATCTAGAAGATCAGGACAGAGTTCACTCAGTCATGTGGAAGTGTTAGAAAATATATGTGCATCACTGAATCTGTTCTTCAGGTATGTAAAGCCC